GGAGTTCAGTCATGTGTCTGGATGGATTCGCTCTCGCTTGTCTATCGCCCTCGCGCGTGCGACTAGCTTCTGTCTGCGTGGGGGAGGGAGGGGAGGGTTTGCGAGACTGGGGTGTGCTGATGGGGCGGGGATTGATCCCTCCTCCCCTTGAGCCTGTTTGACTCTGCGTGCTGATGGGACTGTATTTGTATGAGTATCACGGACACACAGACGAGTGTTATGGTTAATGACAGTTTCTCCCCCCCCCTGCAATCGGCGATTCATTCATGGCGAGAATTCCATTCCATCCTGGGCGCTCTGCTAGGTAGTTGTCATTGTGTACAAAGGATACTTTGCCAAGCCCACTAGCCCAACCCTCAGTCAGATGACTCAACCTGCCCTCACTGCACTGCGTTTCTGCATCACGCCATTCAGCCGAAAAATGGCCACATACAACCGATACAATATACAGATGTTCACATACATACAAAGGAAAGCTGTGCCAGCAGCCAACTTATGAGTGACGCTAGCGAAAGGAAAACTCAGCCCAGAGAGACACGTGGTCTGCACACGGACACAAAGAGACATACAGACCGATTCCGGCACTCCCGAAATGTACATGAGTATGTATGTGTGATTCACCCACCTGACGGGTATCTCTCGTTTGGGAATCTGCACGGCGGAACCTGGTCGTGTGGGGGCGCCGCCAACACCTTCAGCAGACACAAGGATGATGGGCTCGTCCAGATGTAGTCTGACCAGAAAAACACGCACACAGCGGTGCGGTGCCCAAACGAATACTTCAGTCTGCCGTGTGCGTGGGGGGATAAGTGGGTGGGTGTGTGTGCGTCTTACCGATGACCCGTTTCACTTCGGCGTTGGGTCTGATTTTCCACGTCGAGTAGGTCAGGTGAGGCCACGTGCTCTCCTGGCCGTAAACAGACACCAGTCCCAGCCCCCTACAGAGGCACATATGCAGACACGCGCAAAGGGATGGCTTCACATCTGCAAGAACCTGGTAACTTTTACTCCGCTTGCTTACTTGTGCTTTTCGAGCCACCGAGGCGTCGCGTCGTGAGGCTCAGAGTTGAAGTCTACGCTCACACACCACACACAGGGAAACATCCATCCTCTCTCCATCAGCGTGCCGTGTGCGTGATACCATACCACCACAGATGATGACTGGCAGTCTCGGCCCACGCGTCATCTCGTCGCCGGCGCCAGATGGGCGGTTTGAGGGGAAGGGGGGCTCCGATGGGCGCGAATCGGGCGGGGAACGGGCAGCCTGGGGGTTGGAGGCTGACTGCGAGGGCTGGCTGTTGGCTGTGAGCAAGGGAGTCTCATCGAACGCCGATGGGTCGAAGAGGTCCCACTCGGCCTGCAGATACCTGCATGAAGTGCAGCCAAAGTAGAGAGCAACAGGGAGTTGGTGCTTGGGTGTGTGAAGGAAAGTGGCATGGCGTCTGTGAGGCGCTCACTTGATGAGTTGCTGTATCTGGGTGAGCCTGACGTCCTCGTGGCCCATCTTGGCCTTCAGATGAGTCACCACGACCAACAGACGCTTGCTGAATGGAACACACACAGACAGCGAGCACATGAGCATGCGCCATAGTCTCTCTACTTTGCTCACTCAATTTGCGTGTTCTGTAGTTCGAGTGCGAGTGCCCCCTGGCTCATCTTTGTGCCGCCTGCTGCGTCCTCGAAGTAGAATCCTTTGTGGCGCACCTCGGCGAACTTGTCCTCTTTGTAGAAGATGGCACAGCCGTCTGCCGTCCCCATCCGACGCTCATCTCGCTTCGGCAGGAACTGACCGAGGTAGCCTGTATGCACACACATGCACAGCCACATGACGTGTGTTCAGCCATTGAATCATGTGGTTCGTTTGGTTGGTGCACACCGAGTCGTTTAAGGTGCTCTGTGAAGAAGTCGAATTTGTCGACCTCCTCCAGACACACAATGTCGGGCTGCTCGCTGCAGACACCAATGGAGGCAGGGAGGCAGTGCACATACATCGATCACACTCATGTCAGCGCGACCGATACTACCGTGTGATTTCTGCCAGCAACAGGCTGCCCCGATACGAGAACTCCAGCACACTCGGCTCACACTGCACGAAGTTATTGTCCTGCTGAGAATACCTGCACTCACACACAACACATGTAAGGCGATACATAGCCTCTCATCATGGTGACCACTCAGATTCACCATCATACGTGTCAGTCAGCTTACTGGTCGGCCAGTGTGTTGAACTGCAGCACAGAGAAGCGATATGTTGTAGGGGTTTGCTCGTCCAGGGGCTCATTGAGCACGATGGCGGATCTGGGCAGCAGCACATCGCGCTGGAGTGCCCGCAGACGGCGCAACAGCCGTCGTCTGTCGCGTGCAGACCGCCATGTGAGGGCCAACTGACGCCAAGGCCATGACCAGGCTGCACAGCGCCGCACACAAGTGGAGCATACAGAGATGAGTCATGAATTGTTCTTCCGTGGTCCCTTACCGGCAACAACAAGCCCTCCGAACACAATGCCGAGTCCCAGCAGGGTCATTGACCTCAGGGACACAACGCCACTCATCTTCGATTACAGGCCGTCAGCTGAAGAAGCTGTCTCCCGAGGTCCAGCAGTGATGTACATGCAATGCAACTCCTCGCGTACTTCGCTGTTTGGGATCTGCGAGCTTAGCTGCGAGCTTTGCCCAGCGC